TGAGCACGAGCTCCTGGTCTGCGTCCGTGCTCGTCTCATACACGCCCGCGATATCAGTCGACGGGGGAATCATGCGGTTCACCGCGGTCATGACCATGTTGAACAGCACGATGAACTTGGCATCGTACTCGCTGCCGACATGCAGGTTCACGATCTCGCTCAGACACTTGAGCGTCACGTTCCGGAACTCGGGCACCTCGAGGAAGCGTCCGACAAGGTTGTCAATCACGTTCGTCTCAAATATATAGCCCAGCGGGATCCAGTTGAGGAAGCGCAGCATGGTCTCGAGCGTGGCCTTGATCAGCGACGGCTTGCCCGCCTTTTCCAGCACCTCGATGCAGAGGTTGAACACGTCGCCAAACTCGCCACAGAACTGGTCCTTGAGGCTGCGCGCCTTGGCCTGCGTCATCTGCTCGGCGCTAAAGTCAAACACCTCCTCGGAGAGCAGGCGCAGGATCGCCATGTTGTTCTCGCACACCGAGAGCGACGTGCGCGACGACGCGACGATCTCGGGAATAAAGCCGCGCCAGTTGTGCGGCCACTCCTGCTTGAGCACCTGGATCAGCGTCGTGTCCAGCTTGCCGAGCAGCGTGCGCTCACGCCGCAGCGCCTCCTCGTCCGAGGACAGCTGCACAATCAGCTCGACGATAAAGTTGCGGATGCCCTGCTGCTGCTCGACGGGGAGCACCTTCCACCGTGTCGAGATCAGACGGTCCAGGATCTGAAGCGCAATATACTTGCTCTGCGAGCTCGAGCTCTGCTGCAGCACCGCTGGGACGCGCTGCCAGGCGTCGGGATGCTCTTGGAACTGCGCGAGCACCTGCTGTGCGAGGCGCTGGCTTTCGCCTGTGCCAGTGTACATCGCCGCCACGACATTGTCCAGCAGGGCAATGTCGAGGTCCTGGCTAAAGTCGAGAATTGCCTCCATGCTCCGCGCTAGTCGCGTCGTGCACAGTCAAGGAGTCTCCTGTCTGGTGTACGTGTGTGTGGCGCCGGGCTGCACGCTAAATCAAATGTCACGTGCGCATGCACGTGGTGGAGGCCTCGCGTTCCCGGCAGCCTCGTCGTCGCGTCCGGCCACTTGCCCGATGAAGGTGCGTGTGTTGCTCACAGTTCGGCAAGCAAATCCTCAGCCAGCAGATCTCAGGATGGGGCTCGTACTATCTCGACTACAAGTTCTTGAAAAAGGTGCGTGTGCGCCTGTGCTGACGCCAGATCATCAACTCGCTCGAGAAGGGCCGGCTTGGTGACGCGGCGCTGTTCGCGACGGGCTCGCGTCCGGAGCCCGGGGACACCGCGTCGCCGCTGCACACCGAGTCGCCAGCGTCCGAGCTGCAGATCCACAAGGCCGCGTTCTTCTTCAAGCTCGAGCGCGAGCTCGAAAAGATCAACGCGTTCTACCTGCAGCGCGAGTCTGACCTCCGTCTGCGCCTCACGACGCTGCTTACCAAGAAGCGCGCGCTGATCCAGTCGGCGAACGGACGGAGCACGGGCCAGAACACGAGCATCTCGCGCGACTCGCCGTCGTTCATCGCTCTCATCGAGGGCTTCCGCTACTTTGAGAAAGACCTGGGCAAGCTGCAGCAGTTCATCGAGGTGAATGCCACGGGCTTCCGCAAGATCCTCAAAAAGTGGGACAAGCGCTCCAAGTCGCAGACCAAGGAGCTCTACCTCGCGCGCCAGGTCGAGGTGCAGCCGTGTTTCAACCGCGCCTTCATCGCAGAGATGAGCGACGCGGTTGCCGCGAGCATCCTCCAGCTCGAGAGCCTTGCGGACGGCCGCGAGCTCCCTGCGTCCATGTACAAGAGCGAGGCGACTATTCTCGCGAGCGCGCTGCCCATGTCTGCGACGAACCTGCCCGGCAGCGTGTTCCTCGACGACGACGGCGCGATCTTTGCGAGCGAGCAGCGCCTCGAGTTCAACGAGCACCCGAGCCGCGTGCTCGCTGCGCTCGAGGAGCGCATCGTCGGCGCCCTCCGTGCCGGCGACGTGGATGCGACCAAGGAGGTGCTCCGCGATGCACACAAGGAAGAGGCCGCTGGCGACACGTCAGGCCGCGAAGTCGCCGCCGCGCATGATGCCGCCGCGCCCGCGAACAGCGGCATCGCGCGTCTCGTCTGGCGCACGCTCGTCGACGTGCCGCAGCCGGCGCTCGAGCGCATGCTCGCCGCTGGCATCCCCGACTTTAGCTTTGTGGACGACATCAACGCGCGCACGAGTCTCCACATCTCGTCGATCGCCGGCCAGCTCATGCTCGTCAAGGCATGTGTCGACCATGGCGTCGACGTGCGTGCTCGGGACGTGTATGGCCGCGAGGCGCTCGCGTACGCGGCGATCCACGGCCACGACGAGATCTGCCACTATCTCCTCGCGCTGCCACAGAGCCATACCGGCGAGCGCTCGATCGTCGAGAGTGTCGACCTGGACGGCTTCTCGCCGCTCGTGCACTCTGTCTTCCGTGGGCATACTAATACCGTGCGCATTTTGCTTGATCACGTGAGCAGCGCCTCTGCTCCAGACGGCGCCGAGCTCGTCCCGCTTGCGATTGCATGCCAGCACGGCCACGCCGAGATCACACGGCTGCTGCTCGAGCGCGGCGCACGCATGCAGCCGAATACAGAGGGCCTGCTGCCGCTTGCGCTCGCCGCCCGTGCGGGCCACGCCGAGTGCGTCAAGCTTCTTCTCGATGCCAAGGCCGACGTCGACGCGACGGAAAAGAGCACGCTGTGGACCGCCCTCTTTTTTGCGGCCGAGAACGGCCATGCCAAGTGTCTGCAGCTGCTGCTCGACGCCGGCGCACAGCCGAACCATCTCGACGAAAAGCAGTGTCCCGCCGTGTTTTACGCGGCGTGGCACGGCTGGATGTCGTGTGTGTCGCTGCTGGTCGCTGCTGCGCCGGCGCGGCCGGCGCTCTCGCGCGACTCGCCCGAGGCCGAGCCTGAGCTCGAGATGGACGGCGAGGTGGACGGCATCCCCTCGCTCTACCTGCCGCCGCCGATCATTCCGTTCCGCACGTACGGCCACAACTATCTCGACAAGCGCTCGCTGGTGATGCTCTCGCTCTCAAATCGCTCGATCACGCTCCAGCGGCAGCACACGTCGGACCGCCCGGACACGTTCCCCGGCCTCTCTGCGTCGCTCAAGCTCGTGCTTACGCCGCGCAACGCCCGTGCGGGCGCCGATGCGGGCATTCCCCATACCATTATCCTCCCGATGGCCGAGGACCGCGAGGATGTCACATTCCAGACCGAGGACCTCGAGCACTTTTCGATCGAGTGCGAGATCTTCCCCACGTTCGGCTCTTCACGTATCGCCAAGACCGTGCTTCTGCCCGATGTGCTGCTCAATGCACACAACCGCAGTGCACTGCAGCTCCCGCTCTTTGACTGGCACCTCGGCGTCGTCGGCCAGATCACCACGGCCGTCGAGTATGTCCGGCCGTTCGAGAGCGTGCAGCTCGAGATTGGCGGCAGGGTCGAGACGTACTGGAAGAGCATGCTCCCGAGCGCGTCTGGCGCCTCTGCGCCGTCGTCCGCGAGCATCCGCCGCGGCCCGGGCGGCGGCACGCCGCCGGGACCGCAGCCAAACGACGACGGGAGCGGCGCGCCGTCGTACGTCACTGCGTCGTCACTTGCCGGCACGTACGTGCAGGCTCCAGTGCAGTTCACAGCAGACGGCCAGCCTGTCGTGTGGCCGCACGAGACGCTCCCTGGCGACGTGTTTTCACCCCGCGTCGGCCAGGTCACGCTCGCACAGTTCAACGAAATTGCGATGCGTACGGGGCGCACGTGGCACGTGCAGGAGGGTGCGTCGGCGCTCAAGGCAGACGACTGGCACGAGGCGCTCGACCGCTCGCCCGTGCCGCTCGACCGCTTGCTCGAGACACTTCCCCACAATGTGGCCCTGGCTCTCGATATCCGATACACCGAGCCAAGTCTCGCACTGAGCGACTGCGTCGACGCCGTGCTGCATGCAGTGTACTCGGCTGCAGACCGCGAGCATGCGCCGAGCCGCAGCCTCATCTTTTCCAGTGCGAATCCGAGCGCGTGTGTGGCGCTCAACTGGAAGCAGCCCAACTATGCCGTGTTCTTTATCTGCCGCTCGACCCTTGCGGCCGACTCGTCGAGCGCGCATCTCCCCCTGGAGAGCGACCCGCGCCAGTCGAGTCTCGCTGAGGCTGTGCGTTTCGCCAAGGGCAACAACCTCATCGGTCTCATGGCCGATGGCCCACTGCTTGCACGTGTCCCCGAACTCGTGTCTACTATCAAGGGCGCTGGCCTGGTGCTTATCTCCCTCGACCGCGTAGCCCCGATTCCAAACTCCCACGCCGTGCCTCCGCACGGCTTCCTGGGCACACCCGCGCTCGATCTCAACGACAGCGCGTTCGATGGCTACGTGCAGGACGGTGTTATTCGCTATCAGTCGTAAACAGGGCATGTAATAATGGATCCATACGTGAAATAATATTCCTTTTTTGTTTTCAGTGCTTTATGCTTGCATGCTCAGCTCGGCTCAGCTCAGTGCTTTTTTCCCTTGGCGGCGCTGCCACCCTTCTTGCCCTTCTTGCGGCGCCAGCGCGCACGACTCGACTCGCTGCGACGTGCAGTGCTGATGTGGGTCTCGGCGCCGTCGACCTGCATCGCTGTTAGCATATACGCACTTGCTTCAGCCTCGGTAGCGCTAGCGGCAGCGGCAGCCGCAGGCGTCGCATCCATAGCCACATCCGTCTCCTGGCCGTCGGCCTCCTCGTCAAGCGAGTCCTTGGGCGCGTTCACACGCATCGCGAGACGCTCGGCAACCTTCTTAAGACGCGCAGCACGCGTTACTTCGTAGTCGGAGCCAGGGGTATACCGGCGGGCATTGCGCGCAGCGATTTTAGATTTCGAGCGGATACTCTTGGCCATAACGGTAGCATGCAGCAGGCTGCACGAAAAATTTTAAATGCACGTCACTGCACGCACGTAGTCAAATAGGCATAGCAGAACGATTTTTCTGCACAAACGGCGTTAGTTAAGGGGTATAACACTTGCCTTCCACTAGCGTATAGCAAGAATGAGGGGTTCGAGTCCCCTACGCCGTACACTTTTTTTATATGCAACATATATTATATACACGCCCCCGTAATTAACTATTTTGTTGGCTTCTGCGCGCAATTTATTTGGCTGCGCACAAGTTAATGTTCCGCATGCCTGATACTCCACAGCCCGAGTCGTTCGGTAAGTCTCGTCGAGACTCACACAGTCAAACGACAACAGTATACCTTTAATAAAACGCTCGGCAAGGGCACGTTCAGTGTCGTGCGCGATGCGATACGTGTTGACGAGCAGGGGAATCAGCACAAGGTTGCCGTCAAGGTAATACACAAGCGGTTCCTCAGCGGAAACCGCGCAACTGTTATTGGGGAGATCGAGACTGTGCAGGAGCTGTCACACCCGCATATCGTGAAGCTGATTGACTGGTTCGAGAGCCATGATAAGGTACGCCGTCTGTGGGGCTTACAGTTCTACCTCGTGTTCGAAGAAGCTAATGGTGGCGAGCTGCTTGACCGTCTCCTCGACCGCGGCCGTTTCTCGGAGCATGACGCGTGTCGCACCATATACGTCCTTGTCGAGGCTGTTGCATACATGCACAGGCACAATATCGTGCACCGCGACATCAAGCCTGAGAATATCCTGTACCGCACGCGCTCCGAGGACGCGAATATCGTCATCGTCGACTTTGGCATCGCGGCGCATATGCGTGCGGATGACTCGAATCTGCAGGGCATGTATGGCAGCGTGGGCTACGCTGCGCCCGAGGTCATCATGCGTCGCGGGCATGGCAAGCCGGTCGACATGTGGGGCATCGGCGTCGTGACATACACGATGCTGTGTGGCTATGCGCCGTTCTCCTCGGCCGATCCGGTGCTCTTCCGCAAGCAGCTCGAGCGGGGCAAGGTCGACTTTGACGAAAAGTACTGGTACTCTACCAGCGCCGCCGCGCGCGACTTTACGCAGCGGTGTCTCACTATTGATCCAGAGCAGCGCATCACTGCTGACGAAGCATTAAATCATGAGGTAAGCCCGCTGCATGCATGGCATGTGCATGCTAACCACAGTGGTTCTCTGAATGGCTACATATTGAGCCGCAAGAGTCGGACGTCAGCGCCGGTCTGCGCGACAACTACCGCTCGCGGTGCAAGAGCGGCGCAGAAGACGCGGACGTCTCCACCACAAGCACAGGGCATCATCGCTGCGATTCAGTCGGGGATTAGATTTCCAGTGTGTGCCCAGGTAGGTCGTCTACATGTGATCGTGTGGATCGGCACGAGGCTGCTCGGGAGGGATGGTAATTGCATCATCAATACGCAGCAGACTCGTAGCAGCCTCGAGCGCACTCTTGAGGCTGCGCAGCTTGCTTACTGTTGGCTCCAAAACTCCAGCTCGCATATTGTCACGCACGGTGCCTCCGATGAGGTCCAGTCCATAGAAACGCAGATTCTTCTTGGGGTCGTCCACGCCCGCGTTCTGCGCGGCAGTGTGGTATGCACGCAGCTTGGCGACGAGCTCAGTCGCGTCCTTGGCCGCATTCACAGTGAGCGTCTTGGGGATCACCAGCAGCGCCTGCGCAAACTCTGCAATCGCCAGCTGCTCGCGCGAGCCGAGCGTCGTGGCAAAGTTCTCGAGGTACACGTCGAGCGCAGTCTCGACTGCACCGCCGCCAGCGACGACTGAGCCGCTCTCGAGCGTGCGCTTGACCACGCTCAGACTGTCGTGCAGCGCACGCTCCATCTCGTCAAGCATATAGTCGTTCGCGCCGCGCAGGATGATCGACGACGAGCTCACAGACTTGGTGCCTCGGATGAGGATCAGCTCGTCGTCGCTGATGCGCTCCTGCACGACCTCGTCGGCATATCCGAGCGACGACGAGTCGAACGACTCGTCGCCGTCGAGATTCGCGAGCGAGCTCACGAGCTGGCCGCCGGTCGCCTTGGCGATGCGGCGCAGGTCCTCCTTGCGGCAGCGACGCACGGCCATCGCACCAGCCTGCACAAACTCCTTGAGCACGAGGTCGTCGATGCCCTTGGTCGTGAGCACGACGTTCGCGCCGGCAGCAAGGATCTTGCGCACGCGCTCGAGCACCATCTCGCTCTCGCGCGCACGAATCTTCTCGAGCTGCTCGGGGTCGTCGATCGTGATGTGCACGCCCATGTGCATGCGCTGCTTGACCAGGTTCATGTCGAGGCATGCGATGCGCGCGCCCTGGATCCGCGTCTTGAGCATCTGCGACGCCACCGTGCAGTTGAGCGCATAGCCATTCACAAACATCGACTCGCGCGCAGACTTGCCGTGCGCCTTGAGCACATTCACAGCCTTGACGGGGTACTTGGTCTCGCCACGTGCATTCACCGTCTTGACAGCGAGCATCGCGTCAACCGCGAGCTGCGCGAAAAAGTCGTCGTCACTGCCAATCACCTTGGACGACATGCTCGTCTTGGCCACATTCAGCAGACTCTCGCGGCCAAGCGCACTGACCTTGACGGAAAGCTGGTCCTGAATATGCTTGATCGCCTCCTTGCACGCCAGACGGTACCCGGTGATGATCGTGGTGGGGTGGATGCGGTTCTTCACGAGCTCGTTCGCTCGACGGAGCAGCTCGGCGGCCAGCACGACTACAGACGTCGTGCCATCGCCGACCTCCTTGTCCTGCTGCTGCGCAAGCTCGACCAGGATACGCGCGGCGGGGTGCTCGACCTCGAGCAGCTGCAGAATCGTCGCGCCGTCGTTGGATATAGTCACGTCGCCAATGTCGTCGACAAGCATCTTGTCGAGCCCAACTGGGCCCAGCGACGTCTTGACAATGTTGGCAATAGTCTGCACGGCCAGCACATTCTGCTCACGGATGTCTGCGCCGGACAGACGCTTGCCACCGATGAATAGACCCGCACTGCGCGGGTCCTTTTGGAAGATCTGCGCCATGGCGGTGGTACTGGGTGCGACGCGCAATGCACAATTTACGGCCGAGGCCACGTGGCTATTTATTCACTACTTGGACCTCCGTGGGCGGCGACGCACTGGCTGTGCCTCTGCCTCTGCCTCTGCCTCAGACTCGCTCTCTGAATCGAATAGATTGTCTTGGCCATCGTCGTCGCCCTCGTCAAAGAGCTCGGCGTCACTGTCAATGCCGTCGTCCGCGTCGTCATAGACACCATCTTCGTACGCAAACTCGTCGTCGTCTTCGTCGCCTTCAGCGCCATCAGCGCCATCAGCGCCATCAGCGTAGCCGTCAGAGCCATCAGCGTCGTCGCCGTCGTCATCGACACCGGCGAACGACACCTTGGTCTTCCGCTGCTTCTCTGCGACATTCTTCTCCTGCTCGGCACGCCGCTCAGCTGCAAGTCGGCGGCGCTCCTCGGCAGCACGAGTCTGCGCGGCAGTCTCCTGTGCGGTGCGATGCACATAGTCGTGGTAAAGCACCTCACTTCCGTTCAGTCCCTCCTCAATCTTGACGAGTCGCAGCTCCATGCGCGGCCCGATCTCACGCAGACGCACTGCACGCTGGGTATTCGCAGCATTTCCGCGGCCAAGGTAGTCCTGCGCAAGCTCGACGGCATTCTGCGGATCGGCCATGTCCTCTGCCTCGGACTCTGCCTCGCTGTTGTCCGTGTCCTCGCCGGCGACCGCCGCGCTGCCACGCACCACATAGTCGGCAATGTCGTTCGCATTCGCGAGATTCACCATCGCACGGCCCCTGCGCTGTCCGTCCGCGCCACGCCCCGTGACGCTGCCGGCCGACGCAGACGAGGCACGTGTAGTGCCCTCGATGATGCGGCGCACAGACCGCGACACGCCGACAGGACGCACGGAAATAAGGTAGTGGCGCCAGTCGATCGTGCGCGTCTCGGCATTGTAGCTCAGCAGCACAATGCGGCGCGCCTGCGACAGCCTCATCGAATGCACGTGCAGCGGCGGGAAGAGATTCTGGAACACGGTCACCAGCAGCTTCACGTGGCGGTCCTCGCCACCAAAGTTGTTCAGCACAAGCATCGGCGGTGTCGTGTACTCGCTGCCAGGCGTCGCAGGACGCCGCGAGCTGCGCATAATGTCGCCCGCAAGAGCATACTTGTTCACACGGAACGTGACTGTCGGCCCCCGCGGCGCGCGCAGGATGCGCATATTGATGCCAGCGCGCGTCTGTGTAAATATAAGCATGTGCGAGACGCCCAGCGGGCCGGCCATCGCCAAAAAGTCGCGCAACCGGTTCTTCTCGCGCTCACGAAGACGCGACGCGGTATTCGGCTCCATGACCTGACGCACGTCTCGCACAAGCGAGCCGGCGCTCTTGCCGATGCGTCCGGCACGGATCACAAAGCTCTTCGGAGCACGATCACGCTCGACCTTGTCGCGGTTGGGCTTGTTAGCAGCGACTTACACCCTGCAGATGCGTGCGCGTCTTTCTCCTGCGCTTGGCCATGGCGGCGGGAAATTTTTTTGCTCCACAGTCACGTGTGTGCATTGTTGTTGTCATGGACGACGCGCATCGCGCGCCGGCTCCGACGCCACACCGGCCGACTCTTGCTGCCGGCACGATGGCGGCGTGCGACTCGTTCAAGACGCCGCTCAAGACGCCTGCACGTCTCGAACAGACATCTACGACGCCAATCACCCCCTTCGAGGTGATTGAGACACACAAAGAGAATGTACAGCCACTTTCGCGAGGTCGCTCTGCACATGCTCTGAGCACCGCGCTCGGCATGCAGTACAAGGAGCGCCAGGCGCTCCTTTCGTCGCAGCGCGATGCACACGAGTCGGTCGTGAGCAGCGCCGAGAACGCCGAGTGCGACGACCCGCTCGACGCGTGGAACAGCTATGTCAAGTGGTGCATCGACAGCTACCCCGGCGGCCAGGGCGCAGAGAGCGGGCTCATCCCGCTGCTCGAGCGCGTGACACGCACGTTCCACGGGTCCGAGCAGTACAGAAACGACAGCAGGTACCTCCGTCTCTGGATAATGTATGCCCAGCACGTCGACGCGCCCGGCGACGTGTACAATTTCCTGCTTGCCAACGAGGTGGGCACGCGTCTCGCGAGTCTGTATGAAGA